GCCGGCTCTATAGCCGGCGGATCGCTTGTATATTAACGGGCATCGCTGCCTCTTTTCAAATAGCGGGGATTTCCCGCTCGCGCGCCGCGCGGCGCGCCCGTGCGGGCGGATGTAACAGGACGTGTATACACGCCCAGTTACATCCAAGAAGCTCCCGGCAGGCCGTGTATACACAGCGGCTGGCCGGGAGGTAGTTAAAAAAGGGTCAGAGTTTCTCCATTGTCCATTGAGGGACACAGGAATTCAGTAACAATTGGGTTATACTGCTGCCTACAGGAGGTGCCCATTCACAATGAATGGGCTGCCTTAATGCAACACACATTAGAGTATACCATAAGGGAACACTTAAGCGTAGATGGATGCTAAGGAAAAAGTACATTATGCTTTCCTTTTAGTTACCCAGAGGTAATATGCCCTGTATATGGCTCTGATCTCTAAATACTGGAAGGGGCAGAGGCCTCCAGCAGTGCAGGGTGCAACAGAAGAAAAGCTGCTGATTTTCTATATTGGAATGCTCTGACCATCTATAGAATACCGTATATACTCGAGTATAAGCCGTCCCGAATATAAGCCGAGGTACCTACTTTTACCACAAAAAACTGGGAAAAAGTATTGACTCGAGTATAAGCCGAGGGTGGGAAATGAGGCAGCTACTGGTATTGTTACTGGTTATAAATTGATTATTTACATGTCTGTCTTGCTTCTTGCAGAGACTGATTGTCCAGCGTGACGCTCTGAAGGAAACCAATGAGGAGCTGAGATGTTCTTTGGTGCAGCAAGACCATCTAAGTCAGTCTGGTGAGTCCGTCAGCCATGTTGGAGACATCTGACACCTAGGGGGCGCTGTGCACATTCTAATCACTAGGCGGATTGAAGCCTAAACCTCTATAATGTGAGGACAAACCATCCATTCAATTTGTATCCAATCAGGAAGACACTTTACACGCACATGAACTTTAATGGCATCCCAGTCTTGGTCCGTAGGGTTCAGTATTGGGTTGGCTCCGCCCTTTGCCGCTATAACGGCTTCAACTCTTCTGGGAAGGCGTCCACAAGGTTTAGGAGTGTGTCTATGGGAATGTTGGACCATTTGTGAGTTCAGGTACTGATGTTGGAGGAGAAGGCCGGGCTCGCAGTCTCCGCTCTAATTCATCCCAAAGGTGTTCTATGGGGTTGAGGTCAGGACTCTGTGCAGCCAGTCACAGTTCCATTTAACAAACCAAGCTGTTCAGCAAAAGTGACAGCGGGAGGGCTTGGAACAAACCCTATAACACTGCCAGTATAATGTCCATGCTCAGTATTCTCTGCTCCTCTTTATTGTATATATGCCCAGAACTTCACTATTTGTATATCCTCTCTCATTTATTGTCACTCATATTTTAGAAGATTCTGGATTCAAAAGTAACGACAACCTCGCAGCAGAGCTCCTTCCAGTGGAGTATCGGTGAGTAGCTGCTCTCTGCAATACTGAAGCTTTGGAGCTGTGCTTACTGCATCGGTTTAAAATAATTATATTCCAGAATTCTCAGTTTTTACAATTTTTACCATCATTTTGATATTTTTTTTAATAATGTAATTATATCTGACAACTACACTATGAAATAGATGGCCTTAAAGGCCTGAAGGTGGCAGTATTCAACTGCAAGGTGAAGGCTTATGTTGTTCATGAAGCCTTTAGGTGCATGCGATCACTATGCCATAGCTGACAACACGTTGGTTCCTGATCGATAGTGAGATCATCCTTGAGGTGTCAGTAACAGCTAGTGGTTCTCAAGGAGGGACATTTGTTAATTTCTCCTGATTATCGGGAGAAAGTGTCGGCAACAAGAGGTCAAAAGCAAACTTTCTTACCGGCTCTGTACACACAGGTATTCATTAAACTGTCACCTTTTTTAGGGAGATGTTCATCAGACTTCAGCATGAAAACAAAATGCTGCGCGTGCAGCAGGAGGGCTCGGAGAACGAGCGGATCACTGAGCTGCAGACACAGCTGGAGGAGAAGCAGAGGAAGATGAGCGAGATGGAGACGGAGAACAGGTGAGAGCGCGGCGCCCTCTGTGGGGGGACGATGGAACAGAACAGCCGAGCCGAATGCCGGTCGGCGGCATTCGGCTATTCACTCACTGCCGTTCGGCCCCTATGTGAATAGTGGCAAACGGCAGCGAGTGAGCTGATGGAGCTTCGGCTCAGCTGATGTTGGATCGGCTGAGTCAAAGTCCCTCTGCACTTCGGCTCAGACGAACATGCTGTTCGGCTGACTGAAGTGCAGCCGATGTACGGCTGAAATCAGCCGGAGTGAATAGGCAAACGTCATTCGGCTCTGTTCACTTCGGCTCGGTTATTCGCTCGGCTGCCTTCTGCCTGTATATTTTTATTATTTTTCTTTAGAAGTTGCAGTTGGACTTTCTTCATTAATATCTGCGACTGGAAGGTGTCTTTGTATCTTAGATTAAACATTCCCGGAGCTTCTCAGCATTTCTTAGATGAGGCATTCTAGAGATTCTTATATTTACCCCTCCATGGGGGTCTTCCTTCTGAAATGTATACAAGGGCGTCCAATCAGAAACAAAGACACACACATGCACAATCACACACAGACACACAAAGGCTGAACTTGATGCGGGGGCGCCCCGAGGCCGGGTGACACCCCGCCATGTCGTCACAGCGTGTGCACGTGGCGTTACCTCACGCATGCGCGACCGTCTGATTGACGCCTGCCGGCGGCCATCTTGGTGGTGGATGCCGGCAGAGAGAGGAGGGGACCTTCACCCGGTGGAATGAGGTATGCCGCCGGGTCCCCTCCTCTCTCCTGAAATCAAAAGATCTCGCTGCACTCCTTACCGAAGTATCAAAAAGACCCGTACGGACGGGTGGGTGCTTGTAGTGGCCACGGATGGCACCGTGAAAAGATCAGATAGAAAATACCGTCAGCAGCACTCATTGCTGGTGACGTTTCCTTTCAAATGCAAGCGCTTTCGGGGCCTCAGAAGGCCCCCTTCATTCTGAGCCTGATGAGGCCCTGAAAGCGCTTGCATTTGAATGGCAATGTGCCACTAAATGGACTATTGCTTGATTATCCTTTGGAGTGCTGTTGACGGTATTTTCTATCTAACCCTCCTCTCTCCTGACACTGTCGTGCTCTCGGTCCGTGACCAAGTCATTTTGGTGACACCCGGGTGCGGGCCGCACCCCCCTTGTGACGCCACTGACTTGATGGACCTGTGTCTTTATTCAACCCTAAATACTATGTAACAAAGACAACAACCAAACAGGAATAACAGGACTAGGTGACCATGGTTTGGGTCTGAGATGTATCCGGGAATTTCATACTGCATTTCGCCAAACTAGACCAAACTAGATTTAACCCTTTTACTGCCACTGCCGCAGCTACTACAGCGTGGCGGTAAAGGTCGGAGAAGGAGCGCACGGCTTTATAAGCAGCCGCGATCTTATGTTAACTTTTTCTTTACCGGGATTCCCCGGTCTCCTCTGCACATCGTGAACACACGAGCTCTCAGCTCTGAGCACTTCCAGGTCCACACTTCCAGGTTCACACTTCCAGGTTCACATACGTCAATTCCTGGCTGCTTGTGGTTGGGTAAAGAACAATTTGGGGGATCTACTTTAACACATATTCGGCATCCCCTGCATGCCAGAGTGAGAGGGATAAGGTTGGGTTATTGTTTTCCTGAAACCACAATGGGATTATGTTACATCGCCAGGTGAATGGCAATAGCACCGTGGCTTAGTGGTTAGCACCTGGGGTACCCGGTTCAAATCCCGGCCATGACACTATCTGCATGGAGTATACATGTTCTCCCTGTGCTTGTGTGGGCTTCCTCTGGGCACTCTGGTTCTACCCATACCTCAAAGACATGCTGGTAGGCTAACTGGCTCCTGTCTAAATTGGTACCCCTGTGTGAGATAGGGACCGTAGATTGTAAGCTCCTCGAGGGCAGGGACTGATGTGAATGTACAGGATGTAAAGTGCTGTGAATATTGGCGGCAAGTGCAGAGTGGCGCTCCCCCATACCATGGTGATGTTTCTCTCCCGTTTATCAGATTGAACGCGGGCCGCGTGGAGGAGTTACAGCAGCAGATAGCGGATCTCCAGAAGACGTTACAGAATCAGGACACGGAAGCAGAAGGAGCCGGGGTGAGTGTCATGGATGCCGTATAGTCATGTATTATATATCAGTCATCAAATGACCCGATTTGTGTTGGAGGGCATTGGCCAGTCGGCCCGGTTCAGGGGTTCTGTATGCACATTTGAAGGGGTTGTAAACCCAGATATTTCCCCACCTCTACAGGATAGGGGACACCACAGGGACTCATTTATACAGGAAACGCTAACATGACCTTTTAATGTCATGGTCATGTGACCGCGTTCCTTTATTTTCTCTTCAGCACGGACATTTCATTGTCCCATATAAACAATAGTCCGGCCCGCTCTGGATGTGAGTGTTGTAGGTCTTCAAAATCGCACTGCGGGTGTCATGTCTCCGCCCACCTCCCCACTCGCAGAACCCGACATGTCAAATTCTGTGAATGGCCAGGTGGTAACACTAAATGGTTCTAACCAGGGTCACCATTAGAAATATTGGGGCCCCCTACAGCCTAGCTGACAGTGCCCCCTACCCCCAACTAATTATTGACATCATGCTCTTCCTATACCGCTCAATTCTGCTCCCCCTGAACCCGTCTTCCTATTCTCCTCCCCTGCATCCCTGTTCCTACTCTTCTGACCTCTGCACCCCCTGTATGCCTCTTCCTACACTGCTTGCCTCAGTGCCCCCTGCACCCCCCTTTCTGCACTGCTCACCTCTGCTCCCCCTGCACTTCTCCTTCTACTCTGCTCACCTCTGCGCCCCCTGCATCCCTTTCCTACTCTTCTGACCTCTGCACCCCCTGTATGCCTCTTCCTACACTGCTTGCCTCAGTGCCCCCCTGCACCCCCTTTCTGCACTGCTCACCTCTGCTCCCCCTGCATGTCTCTTCCTACAGTGATCACCTCAGCGACACCTGCATCCCCTCTTCTTGCACTTCTCTTCTATAGTGCTTACCTCTGCACCCCTGTTCCTACTCTTCTGACCTCTGCACCCCTCTTCCTACACTGCTCCCCCTGCACCCCTCTACCTATTCTGCTTCACCCTGCATCCCTTTCCTACTCTTCTGACCTCTGCACCCCCTGCATGTCTCTTCCTACAGTGATCACCTCAACGACCCCTGCACCCCTCTTCTCTTCCAACACTGCTCACCTCTGCACTCGTCTTCCTTCCCTCCCCCTGCTGACTTGATGGAGCCCGGGCTCGGTATAGGACAGCTGCCTGTACCCCCCTATCATGCCCCGGGTTCTAACCTCGGTGAAATGATTGTGCCGGCATCCGGCTTTATTCTGTTTTCAAAAACATAATTAATGTATTTATTTTGTACAGACGACTTTTCTCTCTGGGCTGATAAATGGTTCTGATTCTCTTTGTTTGCATTCTAGTCCAGCACTCTGAAGAAGAAGATCGAGGCTCGAATGTAAGTACGCGTCGATCTGTGTGTAACCGATGTGTCATGAGCCCTTGTCACATATTGCACCCAACGGGGGCAGATGAATGGATGTAGCCAGACTTCATTTTGTTACAATTTTGTGCTTTTTAAATAAATTTAAAAAAAACAATTCTCTTCTGTTCATTCAGCCCAGCGAGTGGAGGAACTGGAAGCGGCTCTGCATAAGAAGGACGAGGACATGAGGGCCATGGAGGACCGTTATAAAATCTACCTGGAGAAGGCCAGGAATGTGAGTCCATTGTACACAATACTCTGCGCGAGGCGACACAATGTAAGGCACTGGGGACATGTTACATTAGACTGTTAGAGGCTGAGGACATGTTACATTAGACTGTTAGAGGCTGAGGACATGGGATACATGACATTGTTAGAGACTGGGGACATGTTACATGAGACTGACTTCACAGCCCCTCTACAAATCAGTGCTCACTACTGACTGCCGGGTGTCTGAGGGCCCCACTGTAAGTACCAAAGTGGGCGGGACCGGGCTCAAGCATGTGCATGTTCTCGGGAACAGTAAAGTTTTATTGAATGCTGCTAGTCATTGTAACACTGAACTGACAATGCTGTGCCGGCTCCTCCGCAGGTAATAAAGACGTTGGACCCCAAGCTGAACCCGGCGTCCGCGGAGATCATGTTACTGCGCAAACAGCTGACGGAGAAAGATCGCAAGATCGAATTGCTGGAGGTAGGATGGCGGTGGCACCCGGAGAAGGGAGGGGGGGAGGGGAGGGGGCCATGTTGGAAGCGGCTGCAGCAGAATGAGTATAACATTTCATTATATTTACTTTATTGAATTAGGAAGTCAGTATCTTTTGTATACAGCAAGTAGGACAGTTCCCTGACATGATGTCTATGGGAGGTGAACAGAGAATGAATAGGGTGCATGATGTCATTCCAGCTTACACACCTCCAGTGACAGGAAGTGAGGGTGAATCTCCTGAGCAGAGACACAGAAAACATTAACAAAGCGGCAGAGCTTCTGACTCTCCCACACGGCATAAAACCAAGAAAATGTTTTAGCTGGTTCTCGTCTTTGAAAAGTTAAAGCCCAACTCCGGGCCCCCCTTGTAGTGGCCCTTCTCTCCCCCTGTAGGGTCCCCCATGCTGCGTTGATGCTTTTCTCTTTGTACAGTTTCATATTTCTGAGGTCTGTTGGCCGGTCACATGACACGCCGGCTCCTCTTCCTCTCCTGGTGGGCGGTCCAAGGAGATGCAGAGAACGGCACTGTGATACACTGTAAATGAAGGGTGCAGCGGCGACGCCCCCCTGAGGGCAGGGCCCTGACGCCCCTCATTCTTAGTATGTCCTCAGGCGTCATTCAGCCCAGAAGACTGAGGACATCTAGTGGCAAGAAAGAGGTACTGCGAGGGAAAAACTTCAGATTTGAGTATTGCAC